GGGAGATAAAGATATGCATTTATGCCAAAGGTATTTGCCCATTTTTTTTTTAATAAGATTTATCAAATATTCAGGTTGGTAAATGAAAATGAATAATAATTTAATAAATAAATGGAGCATCTTCTCAAGCACTAGTATCCACTAAAAATAATATTTATGTAATAAAAATTTGTTGGATTAATAAATAACAAATCCACCCATTCACTTCCAAATTGCTTTGTTTATGTTAGGATATGAAAGTGAGTAGACATGTATATTTCAAGATTCAGACAAAAATCTATGTTTAAAGGCACTATTTAACTTTGCTTGGTCTCTCCAACCAAGAGGTCAATTTACATTGGATTTAGTCATGGTTCCCTCTTAGAGAACACAGGTTTCAATCCTGCCAGAGAGTGTATATTTTTCTCTAATAAGATTACTTGAATATTCAGGCCAGTCAACAAAAATAAATGAATTACTGTAATGGTCAATCTCAATTCAGCACCTGAGGATCGCGTTATGCATAAAACTCCAAGTCATGCTACTGGTGAGAAAAAAATATTTATTAGCATATAGTTTATATGGATTTGAGCAGTATTTTATTAGCAACTGCACTTAGTGTGCGATATTATATATAAATATATATATATAGCTATATCTATCAAAATTCCTATTTACATAGATATTATTGGTTAGAGTACATGACACTTTGTTAATATTCAACATTGCTTTTGGTGTGAGCCTCATAAAAGTAAGAATCTTATATTTTTGAAGAGAAAAAAAAAAGTCTCTTTACAAGAGAAGACTACCTGACACCTAAGCAGACATGCAATATCAGTGCTGTTGTATAGTGGGGTAGAAAAAGAAGAAATGTTGCTTGTATAAATATTTGTTCCAGGTAGAAATAAGACAAGTTTGGCAAACGTGTTTTTTATGTTTTTCTAAAAGAAAAGATTGAAAGTAAAGTAGATGAAAAAGGAGAGTTGTAAGCAAATGAATGGCAGAGAGAGAATGAAAGAAAAAGGAACGAAAAGAAGACATGAGGAAGATGAAGAAGAAATTACAAGAATTGAAAAAAAGACTTAGAGGGAAAAAAGGGTAAAAACTAGAAAGAAAAAAAGAAAAGAAATGTAAGAAGTGTAAATGAATGAAATTGTTTTAAAAAGAAAGAGGAAAACAAATAAAAATTAAAAGAAACCAAAAAAAAACATTCATGAAAATAATATAAACAGAAATATATAAAGAGGAAGAAAAGATGAAAAAATAGATAAAAAAGAAAAACTGCGAAGTCAGTAAAAGAATGGGAAAGAAGAAAGAATGAAGATCAGAAATAATCAACTCAAAGAAGCATCCAAAAAGAATTGGTAAATAAAGTCTTTAAATGGCACTTGTTACCTTTTGACTGACAAAAGCACAGAAAAACAATAGACTGTAGCTTGAAAATAACTTTTTTCCTTCTAATCCTATTAACGTGAAACTAGCTGAGTCTCCTATTGACTTCTTCAGACATATTTAGAATATATTAGCATAATTTACAACTGGGTGTTTGTGCACTAAGTTATTAGATTGCTTAGTAGAATTCTAGAAAGATGGGTAAAAGTAAGAAAAAACTTGTATGATGTCAATCAACCAAAAGGCATCCTTTGTCTGCATCTGAAAATAAACTACAATGACATGTCAAAAATCATAGGATAAGCATCTAGCACCATGTAGAAATTTCTCTAGCCTGGTGAAGTGCAATAATTCAATGTGCTATCCATTCCACAAATAAACAGACCTCTGAAGAGCCATACCATCTCAATAACCATTCACAGCTCCCTAATATTTATGGGCTCAGGATCTTGAATACAAATATACGTCTCCACTACATCCTATAAATCCTTGATTGGAATCATGTTAGGTGAAAGTGGTAGCCACATCATTCATCAGAAGTATCTGGAATGTTTTTAAAACAAATTCTGGGAAACATACAGATAGGGCTCTTTAACATTCATAGGGCAAACTGTCTAGAAAAATGGAAAGTCTGAATTCAAACCATCATAAATAATAGGATAGATTGGGCTCTTTAGACTTGATAGGATAATCAATCTAGGAGAAGGAACAGTCTGAATTCAAACCCTCATAAATAATAGGGCAGATTGGGCTCTTTAGCTTGATAGGATAATCAATCTAGGAGAAGGAACAGTCTGAATTCAAACCCTCATAAATAATAGGGCAGATTGGGCTCTTTAGCCTTGATAGGATAATCAATCTAGGAGAAGGAACAGTCTGAATTCAAACCCTCATAAATAATAGGGCAGATTGGGCTCTTTAGCTTGATAGGATAATCAATCTAGGAGAAGGAACAGTCTGAATTCAAACCCTCATAAATAATAGGGCAGATTGGGCTCTTTAGCCTTGATAGGATAATCAATCTAGGAGAAGGAACAGTCTGAATTCAAACCCTCATAAATAATAGGGCAGATTGGGCTCTTTAGCCTTGATAGGATAATCAATCTAGGAGAAGGAACAGTCTGAATTCAAACCATCATATATTTTCTGAATTGGCTTGAAAGATGTATCTTCAAAAACATCATATTAAAATATGATCAAATATATAAAGGAAGTGTTGAATGACTGCACAATTTGGCTTGAATCTAAGTTTTGATAGAACCAGAATATCTAACCACCATTTTTTCTTCATCTTATTCACAGTTTCCAACTTAAGTATTGTCATTTGCAGTTAGGAATCTCAGTAGATTATGAAATCACAAATGTATAGCAATAAATGATTCAAGACAAAGGCCAAATGGTCTGCAAGGAACACTTCTCTCGACCTTATCATTTTTTTTTCTTTCATCCACTCTTGTGCTTCCTGTTTGCATTTTGCATTTGCCATACATTATTTGGATTGTAGTATTGTGAAAGGCATGAAGTAGGGATTCGTTTATTGGTACCCAAAGAAAGTAACCTAAAGATAACAGTTTAAGCTTATTTGTAGATAACTGAAATCTTTCGCTTATTTCTTGTACATGTGTTATATTTATTTATTAAACCCCTACTTCTGGGAGGTAATGTCATCACTTAATCACACCTCTCCTCTTCTTAGTGAAAGAGAATAAATAAATGCCTACCTTCTCATTTTTTTGAAGAAAAATCTCTATGAAAAGAATTTGAAATTGTTGAATCTATCTTATATATTTATAAGTTTACCACTCGTCCATGAATTGGATATTGTAGTCACATCTGGACTGATGTTTCTGCTAGTTTTTTCTTAATTTTTTTAATCATTTCATAACTAAGCAAGGCAATAAAAACACTAAAATGCATGTGAGAGAATATGAAAAGAAAAAAATATGAATGATAGAGAATCTGCAATGTTATCTGTCCTGACCTGGCATCTTGGCTTCAGTCAATTCCCTCAACCACTGTAACATCATTTTCCTATACATTTCCTATAAATTTTCCTACAAATATTTTCATGGTAATGATGAGATTTCATTTTTGTTACTTCAACTAAATGAATTTCAGCACAGTACTAGATTGGCAGCTAGGTTGCATCATTTTACAGTTGAAATGGTCACATATAACCATAAGTTCTATGCTAACAGTTTCTTCTCTCACACTCTTTACTTGTGGTACTCTCTTCCAGCTTCTTGCTTTCCAGTCAACTTTGATCTTCAAAAATTTAAATACAATGTCAATCATTATCTTCCATCTTCAAAATTTTTTTTATTGTTCTCTTTATTAATGTTTTTCTTTTTCTCATATTCTTTCACTCTCAAGGGAAAAACTGTCTTTTTGACAGGCACCATTTTTTTCAAGCAAAAAGCTTAAAGATTGCCAGAGATAGATTTAGTAATGCAAGGAAATCAAAAGAATGAAAATGAAGAACGTCAGAAAGAAAAATTCAGAAAAATTATGAAGAAATAAAAAGAAAAACAGGCTTCAAGAAAGAAAATTGTATAATCAAGAATGAAAAAGAATATAGAAAACGAAATTTGGAGGGTGAATATAGAGAATTGAATAATTTTCTTGTTTTAATTCTTAAATTGAATAATTGCCATAGTGAGAGTGGCTGGAGGCAGTTCTTCCTGAAAATTGTTTGTACCCACCTTTGAACATGATGTGAACTAATTTAATTTTAGTATACAATATCTTACTTGCAACCTTGACTTAAAGGTTGTCCACCCCCACAGCAAAACATTGGTAACAGACCTGGGAATTATCATGATTATATATTTTGCAATTTGTAACTGCATGTTCATCTTGGTTGTTATACTCACAATGTTTCAAGAAGCAACACATTACTGAGTGGATGAAGGCATTTGTTAAAACATAGCTGGTTCCCTGGTAGTTATGGAGTCAACCTCTGTATCTGGTAGCACTGAAAAATCACATACTCTGCGGTTCAGGGGAAGAAACAGATAAATGACACAAAAGGTGAATAAAAATGATTGAGTATTAACTGATATGAGTTATCTCCCTTAAGCATAGAAAGCAAAATGATAAAAAATCTACCCCTTTGATTGAATAATAGTTTCAGTTCAAAATTCCATAAAGGTTATTAAGCATGAAGGCAGTCTCCTGAAGAAGGTTGGAGATTTGAATGTTTGAATTGTGAGTATAGCAACCAAGATGAGGATACTGGTTCAAATAGCAAAGTTTATAATAGAAAATTCAAAATTTCAAATAAAAAGTAATGAAGTAATAATATGTAAAAAATAATGTTAATATTAGCTGTTTCCTTACAAGGAAACATTTGGCATTTGCAGACCAAGCAGCCAGGACTCCTTTCAGTTAAAATTTAAAAGATATTCAAGTGAAAAATTTTTTCAGGAAAATAGGTTCATCAAATCCAGTAGCTGTTATCACCTTTTCCAGTATTGATGAGGTTGATTTGGTTTTTACAGTTTATCAGCTTTTTGCAGGTTATTTAAAGCCAGAAAATATTTTTAAAATATAAGAATTTATTGAAGATAATAGCAATTAACTGATAGAAGTCATGTTAATTAACCCATAGCTAATGGGGAGAAATTTGAAGCACCTGCTATTCCCAAGATGTCACCCACATAGGTACTGACCAGGCTCGGCATTGCTTAACTTCAGTGATTATATGAGTACCAGTGTTTCAATTTGATATGGCTGTAAGCCAATATTGACTGGTGGTTTCCTTCCTAACATTTATTTGAAGCAGAATGTGTGGAATGTCAAAATCTTGATTATGTGATTATGTGATTATGTGATTATGTGATTATGTGATTATGTGATTACTTTCTCTTCGCGTTACATGTGTAATCCATTTTAGTTGTTGCTGCTGTTGATAGTCTTCAAGTGATGTGGTTTCTCTTATTTGGTACAGGCCTTTGTTTGTGATTCTATAGTGCCAGTCCACAAGGTTCAAAGAAGGTGATCTTTACCAAAACCCTCAGGCTTCACTTGCTCAAAGCCATTTTTAATCTTTGAAGTGATTGTATACAGCTGACAGTTCAGATATTTCTGAATCAGTTTGGTACCATGCATGACATCCATATGAAAGTCTCGATCTGATGAGGCAGTTTAAGAACATGACTTGAGTTTTCAGATTGGTGAAGACACTTGATAATATTCTTAAATTTTTATTTAAAATTGTTGCCATGAAAATAGGTGAGAATTCATGAATGAATCATAAAAAAATTACATTAATATTAAATACCAATCTTTAGTTTTTCTTAAAACAGACATGACTTGTATTTCAGGCAACTCTTCCCTGTTCAATGTGCAAGCAAATAAATAAACATTAATGCGGAAATAATAACAGAGGAAGATCAAAGAAGTAAGCTTTTAAATATAAGTTATTTGCAAATGGAAACAGGAAGAAATTCCAATAAAAGAAAAAAAGAGGAATAAAAAAGTGAAATACAACAAAAGGGCAAATCATGAACTTGTCAGTTTTTCTTCATTTAGATCTCAAAGATTTTACCAAATATTTTTCAATTACACGTCGTCTTAACAGTTTCCAATGTTATCAAGAGTGATATCAACATGAATCAATTTCTTCTTAGATCAATTTTCAGTCATTCATCCATTTTTATCTTTCAATTAAATACGCACAGCCAGAAATGGAGAAAAAATGAAGGCAAATATTTCTACTTTAGCTTTTGAAGAATTATGTAAAAGGTTTATGTATGGTTACATTTATTTGAGTTATGTTGATATTAATTTTATTGTTTGGATATTGTAGTTTTCTTCTCACATATATATATATATATATATATATATATATATATATATATATATATATATATATATATATTTGAATAAAAACAGACCACTTTAAGGTTCTATGTAATAAGTTATTTCACCACAACCCCTTTAACAGGGCTCTGGATCATCAGACTTTACTTCCAAATGTTGAAATGAAAAATGAAAAGAAATTCACACGTTTTTGATGGACCGCATCAAGCATATGTAAAATTAACGAGGTGAGGAAGTATGGTGGGAGAGAAGACAAGATAGGAGTGGGTTAGATGTACCATTTCAATTCCTTATTCTTAACCCCACTGTGTGTCGGCTAACGCGTATTGTCTCTAGATATAGGTGGGTAAGGGGTGGGGGAGAGGACCGACATTAAAGGAAGAAGCTACAACAACCCTAATAAATTACATTTCACGACGGCAGTCAAAACGTGTGAATTTCTTTTCATTTTTCATTTCAACCTTTGGAAGTAAAGTCTGATGATCCAGAACCCTGTTAAAGGGGTTATGGTGAAATAACTTATTACATCGAACCTTAAAGTAGTCTGTTTTTATTCAAACATATCGGCTCTGAATTTTACATTGAGCTCTCCGGATATCATCCTCCTTGGGTCTACCCATACGGATTACCTAGTTTTGCATAAACTAATATATATATATATATATATATATATATATATATATATATATATATATATATATAGTAGAGCAATAAATATTTATTATTATATGTTACATTAGAACATGGAAGTTACTATTACAAAATTGTACATTTTGTTTCAAACTTTAAATAAAACATCTCTTCAGGTAATTTACAGTGATGACAATAAATGATAATATTTAAAATTGGAATTAATGAAACATAACTTCATTTTTAATTTTGTAGTAATTACTTATATGTTTTAATGTAACAGTGTATAATATATGTCTGTGTGTGTGTGTTTGTGCATGTATTCATTGTAAGCATGAGGAGAAGAAGCAATTTATTAGAACAAAATAAAAGTATCCATATTGTATATTAGTTTTCTGACAAGTTATTAAACAATTAAAGCCTTGCTACTTATTACAAAACTATCACCCAATATACAGTCATAAATGACAAAACATGGGTGTTTTCTGTCTGTATGATTATAGATATGTTTTTTTGTGGGCAAGAGAGAGAGTGTGTGTGAGAGAGAGAGAGAGCAATGATTGCCTACATCCTGAAAGGACATGGCGCATAAAAAAGAAAGACCACCTCAAGCAAAGCAGTACAGTTACTAACACACAAGAGGCTACAGGGTGTGGAGGAATTAGGAAGAGAAATATTAGTAATAAGTAGAAAGATAAATGAGCAATCAGGAGGACAGTAGTAGTGATTTACATTGCACCTAAATTTTTGCAGATTAAAGATAGCTCAAAAGCATAGAGCCAGAAGAGAGTTTCACAAGTAGGAAGTGCAAGAAAAGAAACTGTCAGCACATAAGTTTTGGCTACATCTAGCTATCTCACCTGTAAACTGATGAGATCTCACTGCAATTACACTTAAATCCACACAGTCTAGGTACCAATAATGAAGAGCACATGTGAACAATTACCATAAAAATACTTTTAAAAAAAGGCACAGAGAGGCAACCTTACATCAGTGAACAAGTGACAAAAGTCGAACGGCCAAATCTGGGCCAATAATATTGCTGATTCTTCTTTGGATCTCATCAGGGAGCTCAAGATAGATAGCAGGAGAACCAGATCATATATGGCAGCAATATTCTTTCCATTTTGTTTGTACATCAGCAGTTGACCTGGAAAAATGAAAGCATTGACCTCTAGGAGTTTCCTAAAAAGAGGTAGAAGGCTAATGGGATGATAGTTGGATGGGTTGAACTGTTCACCAAAGTTCTTAAAAACGGGAACAACAGTTGATGACTTCCAGCAGATAGGAAAGCAGGAGGCAGTGAGGCATTTATTATACAGTTTAGAGAGAACAGGATCCAGTTCAGGAGCACACTTCTTAATGAACATTACAGGGATACCATCGGGTCCACATGCTTTGTGGGGATAGAGATGATAGAAGAAACAATTGAAGGGATTAAATGCATATCACTCAACAACGAATCAGTTCTGATTGGGAAATTAAGAAGGGATAATCCAGATGACTCAAGAGTAGAGTTTGAAGAGAATTTATGTGCAAAGCATTCAGCTTTATCAGCAGAGAATCGATTGAAGAGGGGGTGAATAGAAACCTTACATTTATTTAGTAGCCTATTACAGACACACCAGTAATCACGAGAGCCAAAATTTTTAGAAACTATGCAGTGCCTCATTCTCTCTGCAAACAGGGACTTAGCTCCTTCAAGGACTTGTTTAAATTTGTTATGAGCAGAAATAAATAGGCCCCTGTTATGATGAGAACTGTCATATTGGCATAACCGGAAATAGTAATTCCTGTATGCTATGGAGGCCGAGCATGCTGGTGTAAACCATGGAGAGGACTGCAGTTTTACCTGGTATTTCTAAGAAGGGATGAAAGTGTTCATGCCTGCTCTGACTCAAGAAGAAACCTCAGTGGTACAATTTTCTATTGGGATAGGAGGTTGAAGATGTCAGTCCAAGTGGTGTCACAAAAAATATCCCAGAATGTGTCCAAATCAGTATACTGGTAATGGAAAGAGATCTTATGGATGGGGGGTTCCTGTTTAATGGATGCTTGAAAGGTGATATAAATAGTTACCACGTTACCAAGAGTGCAGTATTGCGGGGCTGAGCAAGAGTGAGGGAGATTGAAAGAAATAGATCCGGTAGAGAAGCCTGTTGCTTGGCTTGGCTTGGCTTGGCTTGGCTTGGCTTGGCTAGGGAAATAAGTAGGGAAGTCCACAATTTGAGTAAGGAATTGGGCAATAGAAAAATTTAATGTCTGTATACCGGCAACATCAGTACCTTTAGAATGTTTCAATCACATGTTATGGTGAGTATTATAGTCAATGAAGACAAAGATGTTCATAGATGGATGGAGAGAAAAGGCCTTTTCTATACTGTCAACTATTGCGTCTAATATACTGCAGTCTTGGGAAGAGGGGAGTGGGCAGAAAATGAAAAAGAGATAGCTGACAGAGTTTATTAACAAAAGACAGAAGCAAATGAAAGATTAGTCAACAGCCTCGAGAGACAATTCTCTGGCCATTGGCAGATTAACCCAAGGGCATGCATGTGAATGCTGGAATCTTTTCAACAAAGGGGAAGATACCCTGGAACTAAAAATGTATTGGTAGTAATGGAAGAATTCAAGTTTTTGAAAATTAAAAAAAAAACGTTCTTTCAAAAATATTTTTTCAAAATTTTGAAGCTGCCAGCATCTCTCATTTTATGCACATGTATAAACATGACAACATCAACAACACCAACTCTGATGAAATTCTAAGACAAAATGTGTCACAAATTTTTTTTTCCAATTTGTCATACTATTTTTCTAAATATATATATATATATATATATATATATATATATATATATATATATATATTATAAATTAACTGATTTAAAATATGGTTCCATTGCTACACAGGAATTGCCATGTTTCAAAAACAGAAACTAACAACTTCAAATTCAATTAATTTGAAGTTGTTAGTTTCTGTTTTTGAAACATGGTAATTCCTGTGTAGCAATGGAACCATATTTTTAAATCAGTTAATTTATAATATTTTGCTCTGTAAATTTACATTGAGCTACTGTTTTGTAAAAATAAAAATATCAATAAGAACACCAGATTATATATCTTACTGTTCTTTTCTTTTTTTACTATAATATATATATATATATATATATATATATATATATATATATATATATATATATATATATATATATATTGGGTTCATTTGAAGTGGGAAAAAAGAACATATGTATATTTCATTTAATTTCCCACTGATATATTTCCAATACACTTGATTTTCCACTACTCCTCCTCTTTCACCTGAAGGTAGCAAAAGGTTGAAACGAAGGTAGTGGAATTGGATGATTTCCAAATTTTTTATACTTAAAAGCTCTACATGTTAAATTTTTATCTTCTTTATGTATATAATTTTTAATACTACTGTTTCCTGGTCTAACTTAACTCTGACCATTAACTTCTTTATTATATATATATATATATGTATATATTGAACAATAAAAAGTATTAAAAAATTAAAAACTTCAGACACACTGGGTTGTATATTAATATTCATTGTGTGCTATTTGGTTCTTAGGGAGTGAGTGAGTATGATGCATGTAATTGTGTATATTACTATGGGTGTGTGTTATCATTTGGCTCATTAGGGAGTGAGTGAATATGATGTGTGTAAGTGTGTATATTCATGTGGGTGTGTGTATGAGTATGAGGCCTCAACACCTCCGTAAGCATGTCTGTCTTGTTTGGATGAGAAATGTGGGTAGGTTTTGATTTGTAGGGTTACATATTAATACTATCTATATTGTTAAATTTATGGTTAAGCTCGGCTGGATAGTGTGTTTTAAACATTGTATCCACTTATTTTCATGGAACTCTAAAAGCTTTATAATGCTATCTGCTCTGAACTTTTCTATTCTCTCAATTATAGTGAATCTGGGATGGGCTTTAAAATCATGTTTTTCTAGGTGGAAATGTTGTTCTATAGGTAATAATCTTTCATGGGGAGTCGACTTAATTCGATTGCAATAATTATTAATTCTGTAATGAAAGGGCCATTCAGATTTTCCTATATATTGTTTCTGGCATAGTGTGCATTCTAGGAGGTAAATTATGTTATGACTTCTACAGTTAGAGTCATGATAGATTTTGAAAGTAGATTTAGTGACTGAGGTAGTGAATGAATTTGTGTATTTAATGTGGTTGCAGCATAAGCTTCTTTTGTTGTTACATGGTTAGGAAAATTCTGTTGTTTTTGTTGTTAGTTTATTATGGATTACCTTGTCCCCTGAAATGTGGTTACTACTTATGATTTCTTTTAGGTTCTTAGGTCTACTATATGCTAGAAGGCTGGGTTCCTCAAAGAATTGGAGGCAGAGTGGGGCTGAAAGTGGTTACTAGAGTGATGTGGCTGGGTTTATTCTCTAGCTCTGGAAATTGCTTTATTTTTTGTTCCCTGATTAGGTGTTGTTTATAGCTTCGTGTTGTGAATTGATGCTCCAGATTTTCAATGTGTTTATTTAATTCTTCATTGTTGGAACATATCCTTCTGAGTCTAAGTGCTTGTGAATAGGGAAGGTTCTCTTTGGGGTGTTTAGAGTGGGAAGACTTAAAGTGTAGATAGTTGTGGGTGTCGGCGATTTTAGCGTGTAGTGTCATTTGTATTTTCCTGTTTTCATCTATATAAATGCAGGTGTCTAAAAATGTTACTGATGTTCTGGATTTTTCATAATCAAATTTAATTGAGTTGTGCACTGTGTTTAGGGTCATGAGGAATTGGATAAGTTTGCCGTCACTATCCGTGTATACAAAGAATATATCATCGATATATCTTGCATAGAATATGCAGTCACTACCGATGAGAGGGTAGATATGGGTCTCCTCAAGTTTTCCCATGAATATTGTAGCATATATATATATTTTTTGCTATATATATTTTGGGTTTTGTGACCTTCATCAGGCAAAGAATAGTTATTTCCACATATTATTTTAAGGAATTATTTTTTTTTCTATGTTAAATCTTTTAACCATTGTCTTTTGTGTGTATTAGTAGTCATCTGAATCCATTTTGGACTGGCTGTAAAATGTTTTTTTGTTTTACGAGTAGTAAGACAATTAAATTTGGTCAGAGAAAAGGAAAGAAAGGAGGTCTTTGTTCTTATCTTTTTATGTCCCCGTATATCTCCCCTTCATTCCTTCCTCTATTCTTGTGTATTTGGGTGAGTTTGCCAGTATGTCTATATATACTCTTTCTCCATACATATATATTGTGTTATTACAAGGAAATAGTATATATATATATATATATATATATTCGGTTTACCAAATTCTTCATAACTTAAATATATATATATATATATATATATATATATATATATATATATATATATATATATATGTATGTATGTATATACTTGTATGGTGTGTAAGGTTTGTGTGTGTTTGTTACCTGTCCAGTGTGTTTGTTTTTGCTAGTATGTGTATATATATTCATTCTCCATATTATATATTATATTATTGTAAGGAAAAATATATAGTGATTACATGCATTTTGTATGGTGGGTTTGTATGTTTCTGTGGATGTGTGTGTGTGTGTGTGCGCATGTATGTGTGTCTGTGTGTATGTGTGTGCGTGCGTGTGTGTGTGTATGTGTGTGTATGTGTGGCCTGACTAGGGTGGTTACCACTATGACTGTATGGTGTGCATTTATGTATATAGGGTTATGATTTCTTTAGTGCTGATTTAAATTTGTCTATGAAGTTTTTCTTGTATTTGTAGATAAGAGTAAGAGTTTGCTATGTTGTCATAATTTTAAAATTACCCTTGTTGCATTGTTGGATGTGTTGTGACACAAAGAATTTTCTGTTGTCTTGTAATTTAATGTTTTGTGTAGGGAAACTCTGTTGCTTAGTGCTTGATTGATACCTATATAAGATTTGTTGCATTTTGTGCACCTGAGTGCATAAATTACATTTTTTCTCATTAAAATATGCACTTTTCTCTCATTGAAACAACTATAATCTGTCTCTTATATATATATATATATATATATATATATAGAGAGAGAGAGATAGATAGATAGATAGATAGATAGATAGATAGATAGATGATGCATTTAAAGAAATAATGTTTTATACTAAAACTTGCTATTCATTATTAAAAACAGTACAACTTACTTAGAAATTATATATATGTCCATACCATGTTGAAACATCAGTTCTCCTCCAATCCCCAAAGTTAAGCAATGTTGAGCTTGGACAGCAGAAAGATGGGTGACTGCTTGGGAATACAAGATACTGTAAGCATGGATGTGTGAGTGGGGCAATCGATAATCCATCTCTTTTCTTCTCAGCTATAGGTAAATAGCAGGACAGACTATAGCCCATAGCCTTGTCTAGCAAACAGTCTAGGTGAAGAAAAACTCTGACTCAGTACTGTTTGGCAAAGGTTTGGCAAAAGCTTATTATAGGAGCCAATGACCAGCATGCAACCAGATGGAAAACTCCTATTCAAATAAAGCTTGTGATAGTAGTATTATCTGACAGGTACATGACAGTACAAGACATGGTGTTATGATGGAGAGAATGTGCAATGCAGGTCACAGGCAACTGATTAAAATTAAACAATTCATTTGCGCAGGTTGTTCAATAAAAATCCATCTCTATATATATTGCCTGAAGAATACATTCAAGCATGAAACAGACTGTTGCCACATGGTGTTGATCACAGTGCCCACCATTATATTTTTATATTTACATATGCTCTATCCCTGATATTGAGCCCTTTTACACTGGAGTATAGCATACTTTAAAACTATATTTTTATCATATTATATATATATATATATATATATATATATAATATTTTTTTGTTTAAAAATAGGATTCCTTTGCTACATAAGAGTTCTCATGAAAGAAAAAAATGAGAGCCGAAATCATCCAAATAATTATTAAAATTAACTTGAATTTAGGTGTTTAGTCTTTTTTCATCTTCAAGCGAAATTTTAGGAAAACGCTCTTTATATATATATATATATATATATATATATGTTTCTGTGTGTGTGCACAGGTTTGGTTAAATACCAAGGAAAGGACAAAAGATTTTTTTTTCAATTAGCCTACGGTTCAGATCATTTTTCTGGTCTAAATGCCAACTGTGAAGATGGAATTATATAAAGGTAGCAAACAATATGATAGCAAAGCAACTTATGGGAAGAAATTAAAGCTAAATTTAACAAAATCAATGGATAAATAGATTACTGGCTGGATTACTAGATTAAGATGTAAATGTTTCAAAGACTTTTCATATATGCTTGTTATTTGTTCTTTTATAGTTGTTGATTGATTGTTGATGATTTTATTGCCTTTTTATTGTTGCAAATGTGATTTTCTGGTTTTGCATAATTACTTAAAACTGTTTTTATAATAAATCCCATAGTTTTAATAAACATCTTGAAACTACCTTAGCTCAAGCTTTATTTTGACATTGAAATTAATCTTTTAAAATCTGTCCAAAATTTTTCAAAGCTATTCAGAATTATTGAGGCTTATGTGATTTTCACATGGACTGTAATGATAATCACTCATCTAAAAACTTCTGATAAAAAAAAATACTGCATGTTGCAAAAATTTTCCAACTTTGTCAAAACGTCTGGTTTTGAGGTTTTATTTACTGTCATTGGCTGACACAAAATTTTTATACTTCAATAAAATTCTTATCTAATCAATTAGTAATAAAATTACTTATAAAATTCAATTGTTTTGAGAGAATGTTGATGGCATAAATTAAGAAAAGTCTAAGTCTACTGATACTTTTTATTCTTATCATTTTAATTATCGTCCTCATTTATATTTTTCTTTTTTTAATTTAGTATCCTGGGTTTTTTGGTAAAACTTCCATTTGTTACCTAACATTCTCAAATCAAGTAAAAACTCTAAACATACCTTATCTCAAGGAGATGATAAATTCATTTCTGTTATAATGGTAGTGATGATGATGACAACAGTGAGGAACTATGATCAGGGTTATAGGTAGTGATGATGATGACAACAGTGAGGAATGATGATCAGTGTTGTAGGTAGTGATGATGATTATGATGATTATGATGATGATAAGCCATTCCAGGTCATGCTCCTTAAACACACCAAATAGCTTTTTATTAAATTTTTCATTGTTTTCATCGTTGTGACTTTATATTTTTACTATTTTTTTCTTTGTATATCTTTGTCTTATCATTTTCCTTTGAGGAGCACAATTCACTTAGAATCATTCTGGTGTCTTTGTTTATCCAATATTAATTTCCTCCATATATATATATATATATACATATATATATATATATATATATATATATCTATATATATATATATATACCCTAATTTTAGCTATCGCCTATAAATTTGCGTTTCACTTTGCCTCTTTAGCCAAATTTCCCTGACAATCCGTTTAGGTGAAACCTAGGTAGGTTTGTCTGGCTCACTAGGTGTATCTAGGTCTGCTCTACGGTTGTATTGAGCGCTTTTGTTAGTTAGTTGTTTACTCGTATCGGGGTTTTTTCTTTGGGCTTCAAACCTGCATCTGTGCGATTTTTTGTCAGCAGAAGTTCATGTTTGTAGCTCTTTCTTTTTTTAAAACCTTTTTTTCCCTCGAGATTGATTTGATTATTGGCAAATCAAAAATTCATGGTTTTTTCGATACAGTATAGTTATCTATATATATATATATATATATATATATATATATATATATATATATATATATATGTGTGTGTGTGTGTGTGTGTGTGTTTTGCACAATAAAAATATTAAAAGATTAAAATTTTAAGACACATTGAGTTGTATATTAATATTTTTTTGTTTTATTATTTCAATTAGGTTCCTCAAATAGTTTCGATCAGCATGGCCATCATCAGGAGAAAAAAATCCCTTCTTGTTAGTAGCAGTGAACTACTGGAGTGAATGACTGTTTCTGAAAGTGAACTTTATCAATAGTCTTCATTTGTTTTTTATCAATAATTTTGGTTAGTCCTTGTGTTGGTCAAACATCCTCTTTGAAGTTGTTTTTAAGAAAGAGGATGGGAGAATACTGACTTTAAGAATTCCCTCCTTAGCCATTTTGACAATTTTAATGGTTGCTGGGAATGGGATGTGTATGTTAAGTATATGTTATCTTTTATTTCTTTGGGAGTGTGTGTGATGTGTGTATGTGCATATATTAGTATGAGTGGGTGTATAAATGTGAGACCTCAACACCACTGCAAACATGTCTGTCTTGTGTGGGTGAGAAATGTGGGTAGGGCTTGATTTATGTGGTTATATATTAATTCTATCTATGTTGTTAAATTTGTGGTTAAGCCCATCTGGACAAAGTGTTTTGAGGTGCAAAATCCATTTGTTTTCATGTTCCTTGAGTATTTTTCTAAGATTATCTTTTCTGTCTATTTCTATTTTTTTCAATTATAGTGAATCATGTTTTTCTAGGTGGAAATGTTGTTCTACAGGTAATAATCTTTCATGGGGAGCTGACCTCATCCAATTCCAATAGTTATTAATTCTTTACTGAAACGGCCATTCAGGTTTCCTCATATATTGTTTCTGGCATAGTGTGCATTTTAATAGGCAAATTATGTTATGTCTTCTACAGTTAAAGTTGTGGTAGATTTTGAAAGTAGATTTAGTAACTGAGCTAGTGAACAAATTGGTATGTCTATATATATATATATATATAATTTTTTGTTTATCTCCTTTATCATCTTATGCTATCAGTGCACCATTTAAACATTTAATGAGTTTCCATTTTATAAAAGCTTTTCATAATTTTTTCTACAAAATTAATAATTTTACAAAAGTAATAGTTAGATATATCAATAAGTCTGTTATCCTAATGATGAAAAAAAACATTTATTTTACATAAATATTTCTTTTTCAACATAATCTCTTTCCTTATCAGTGCACTTTACACAATATTAATCGCATTGATTGAATATTATTCAAAGAAAATCTTAGATCAAAATTCTGCCAACCTGTACACTCAAGAATATTTAATAAAGTAGCAAGTAACAGATTTATTGATTCATTCTAGGTGAACACAAGTTCGAATTCTGTCAGAGGATGCATATTTTTCTAAGATTTTTTGAATATTCAGGCTGATACATTTTTTTAAATATATACTTTAATAATAAACCTACTCAAATAAAAATAACGTTTTACGCAATAATATATATATATATATATATATATATAATATGTGAAAATATATAGAAAATAGGAAGGAACTGGTTAGGTAAATAATCCAAAGTTCCTTAGTATTTTAGTTATTATTTTTAAAAAATCATGCTCGATACAAAAAGTAGAGCATAAATATAATTATTTATTTAAAATATGATTCAACTTGTGACATAAGAGGTCTCATGTTTCAAAACAAGAGCGAAAACTTCAATATAATTATTTGAATTAAATTGAATTAAAGTACTAAGCTCTGTTCCATCTACAAGCAAAAATTTTTTTTTGATTCAAAAAAATTTCGCTTGAAGAATGGAACAGAGATTACTTTTAACTCAGTTTAATTCAAATAATTATATTGAAGTTTTCGGCCTTGTTTTGAAAAACATGAGACCTCTTATGATTGAATCAATTCATATTTTAATATATATATATATATATATATATATATATATATATATATATATATGTTTGAATTATTAATACAAAATCAAGAGATAAAAATAATAAAAAAGGAAGAACCTATTTTTTATTATTCCATTACTAAAATTCATTTATGCATCATGGTAAGATTCAATATTCAAATATTTTCACACCAATTTCTTTCATTTCTCAGACGAGGAACTATTCTAATATAATATCTTATTTTCATTAATGTCATTGTCTTTATTGTCTTTAAGATAATATCCTAACTGGACAAATCTGTAGCATGAATCTAATATCTGTTAACATATTGGGAATATTCATTTTAAGATTAATTTATTTGAAAAAGGGAAGAAGAATTGCCAATATAAGAATAAATCATCAAATAACCTTAATATTTCTTTCAAACTTCTCTCCTTTATCTATACTAAAATCTTCCAATACAGCATATCAGAAGTAATTATATAAGATCTACCCATCACTACATATATATATATATATATATATATATGTGTTTTTTTTATCGGGTTCACCTTATACAAGATAGTAAAGCTACCGAGACACTAGGTGTTACTAGGTGTAGAAGAGAAACATTGCTAAGGATCAAGAACAAAAGAAGACTAATCAGGAGGATGGTAGATAGCAATTGACATTGCATT